CTATAAGATCTTTGAGGACTGAACGTAAGTCACCTTCTCTTTTTGACGAAACATTCAATTCTGTATTTGAACCGGAACTGAGAGAAAACCTCAAAACACCAGAAAACGTTCATTCTACAGAAGCAAATGTGCCTCCATCTTTACACAATCTAAACCTTTCCTCAACTTCATCAGCAACATTTGAAGAGCTAAGAAGACCCTTTCCAAAAGCGGCACTTTTAGAAAATAGAAGATATATTCGGAAATGTAAAAGTACTATATATACCGACACCCCGGAAGAACTAAATCTTTTAGATATGAAAAACAAAAGAGAAACATATAAGAAGAAAAAAACAGATACAAAGGACAGAATAGGAAAAGGAAAGGGCAAACGAAAAGGAACGGATAAAGTTGATGAGATTGCTGATGACACCGTCGATGAAAATGACGGTAATGCTGTAGATTCAGATGACGAGAGTACGATTTGTTTAGAATGCACTGAATCCTACGTCGATAGTGTTCCAGGCGAACAATGGATTCAGTGCATAACTTGTAAGTTATGGGCTCATTCCAAATGTGTAAGAGGTGATGTTTTTTGAATGCAAATATTGCGCTTCTGATATTGAAGACTTATATTATAAGATATAAAGGAACTGTTTAATTAATAAAACTAATAAATGTTTAAATAAAAACTAGGAGTTGTCAGTTTTGTTAAAGACTTATTGTAAGATAATTTCTGTAACTGATTCAAATTGTTTTTGAGTAAAAGGTTTTGTTAAATTATAAAAAAATTTCACATAACTTGACTCTTCTCATAATTTTGATACGTAAGTCTACTTACCCCGGGCATATACGAGTAGACAATCTACCCGGAGCCAGGGTAACTTGACTAAGAATCGGTGTCCTGTAAGATGCGTTAAATTATGATCGTTATATTGAATAATGTACTAGTTTATATATTTTTTTATAAGCTAATAGTTCTTCTATCAAGTGATGCAGTTTCATAGTCTGTATGTATAAAAGCACAAAAAATATGTATGATGCTGTAAAAAACTAGGCAACCATCCCCGGTCTCCCCTATAAGTGGATTAATGAAAGAAATATACCGATTGAATTGTATACGTGTTCTCAAAGAGTTGGCCAATAAACTCCCAAATACTCGATATCTCTTTCCGTTCCGAAAATATCGTAATTTGAATTTGGGTAAAATTTTCCATGTTTCAAAATATTTGGCGGTGTCACTCTTGCATCGTTCTTGCTCTAATGCCCAGTTAGTGGGTAAAGGTGGAGAAAGATCGGCTTTTTTCCGTGAAAATTGAAAGATTTAGACCTTTGAATTGCATTTATGTTAAATTCAAGCAACGAATTTGAATAGGCTAGGAGCCAAGAAAATTGTTTGTCGCCAAAATAACGTAGATGTGGTGCATACCTCTTGGTAGACTTCCTACCACAGTGGCAAACCAATACACCGAAAAACACCCCTTTTTTCTTCTGGAAAGGATATTCCAATATTCAAGCAGGGCAGAACTATTACCTGTGTTGCGATGTGAATCATTAAGTTATTGATAAAACATGGATCAGTTAAATAAAACAAACAAGCAACAGTAAATGTTCATTGATGGTACACCATATGAACAATTTCGCCTTAATTATTAATTTAGGAGGGTTAAAATACAAATATTCTTGAGTAAACATCACCCGTGGCGGAATACTTTCGATTTTTCTGTCTAGGTTGTGTCATCTGAGCAGATCCTTTGGTAAAGTGAATACCGAGTTGAAGATTATGCGATCATTACTGTTATATTACTGCCACTACATTGAATAGATAAAAAATTAGAAATGGATTAATTTTCTTAGTATATTAAATTTTTTGGAGCGCGCGCTGATGACTCAAAAGTGAGAAAACGTAAAGTTACTATTGGTATAGAGAGACTAAGTAAAGAGATGAAAAATTCAAAATAAATGTAGTTCAGACTCGAAGTTCCAGTTCGCTCCTTTCAGTATTCATAATTTCTGGTTTGTCTTAAATGTTTGAGAGATTTAACTGTTGTATAAAGTTTTGATAGCAATCCTCAAATTGAAAAAAAAACACTGGAATCGAAAAGTCAAGCCTATCTACAACTGGTAACAGTCCAATGTTAAAAAGACCTGCTTTCATTCAGCTTAAACTGTTTCTTGTCTACAAGAACCTTCACCATTTTCCACAATTGTCTGAAACATTATAACTGTGTCGAAACCCACGCGATTTGATGTTTTTTCTCAGAAAAATACGAATTTAACGCGAAGTACCAGCAACTGTCAAGTGGCCTAGATACGCTTAAGATTATTGAAATTCAATACACATACCATGTTTGAATGTTTTTCCTTGATATTTACTATTTATTGCAAGTATATTGTTGATGTTATTAGAGGTACTTCAACTTATTATAGTAGTATACGATTATTTTTCCCCAAATACGTAAAATAAAACATAATACCTGACTTTCACAAAATTAATCTTAAGTTACAGAAAATTTTTAAATTGTCTTGTAAAGCCCATTGAAACCAGAATAGTTGGTTGTGCACGGGCAGATTTTTTTTATATATTTTTTATGATAAATTTTGCTTAGAGCAGGATTTTATATAACAAGCACATTGTAAAGATGGAAGGTAAGGAGGAGCAGCACTTATAGAATAAAGTTTCTTCCACTAATTACAGAAATATGGAGGGTGATGAGGAGGAGTAATACTAGCGTAGTACGATTTCTAGTAAATAATTCCTACTAGATTTCGTGTCTCTTGTCCACCAATTAAAAAAATATATTTTTTAAATAAAGATTTTATCAAAGACAATGAGTTTATTTTGTCATAATACATACGGTACAAGTATGGCAAACAATTATAAATTTTACATGATAGGTAGGTGTGGCATCGCAAGCTTACATTTCTTTGAAAAGTTTGTATTTTTAAGTTTTCATTTTCTTTATATCTAGTACTAGAAGCGTGGCTAGTTTTACTGAAGTTGTTTTTGCGTTTGTATATGAATTGAATTAATTCATGCAGCAACAGTTGCCTTAGGTCAAACACTCCAGTCTCTGAAAATAACTTATCAGAAGGATAAGTAATTTTTTTGCTAGATATTACTTTCAACACTCTTTTTTGCAGTATATAAGATATACTTTGATTTATTAAAAGTTGTTCATACTGAGGTAGACAACGTACTGTATTAGAAAAAGGCATAACGATGTTTTTTCATAGCTCACGGTTAAAAGTTTATATTTAAAAATAGTTCCTAGATCCTGCTCTGCTTTAATTTTTAATAGTTTTCCTTCGACAAAACCAAATCAGTGACAAAGTAGGAGTATGAGTTGCTTGAAAATGGTTATTTTGTCTTCATCATTAACCACCGTTTTCCGACTCCTGTGTTGAAATCAAAAAGCTCAACAAAAGCGAAATCGCGGTAACAAACGATGACCGAAATCACAAAAATAAAATGCCACTGCCGCATGCGCATGTCGCATGTGTGATTCGACGACCTGGTCCTTGACCGATCTATCCAGATTGTCTGTGTTATTGGAATACATGAACATAAAGCATGCCACTTTTTGCTAAACATTTTTATTCCCGCATATAAAACCATACATTTTTATTTATCAACCTAAACCTGTCGGAAAAAACCGAATCGTAACGGATTTGGATATACATTGAAACGGCAGATTGAATTCGCCCGTCTCGAAATTAGATTGTTTTTATTCGGAAAAATGTATAGAAATTCATCATAGCTGGATATTGGATTCAGTCCGTAATTTCCAATTACAAATTTAATTTATGAAGCCATAAATTATCTGCTTCCCGTTTCTTTTTTGGCTGCTTTATGCACTGGATAACAACATCGTTGAACGTCGGATGGCGTCAGGTTTCGGAGGCACAACGCCTGTACGAGGTGGGACAGGACAGCCAGCTCAACATTTTAACACATTGACTGCGAACTGGGATGAGGATACCCTCCTCAGAAACTGAAATACTTTTTTTGGAAGCCGGCAGAGAGCGTCGAAAGACGCCGTTCGCCTCCCACCACAGGAGCGGAGGGCGTCTTTTGACGCTGTTCGCACTGAACGTGTTAATTATCTCGTGTACGGAGGCCACCTTCAAAGCGCGTTATAACCGGCCAGCTTGTTACGTAATTGGATCCATTCAAATCCAGTATGGAGAAATAGGTTCTCATTGGGAAGAAATAAATCTCACTACTCTCTACTTCTTAATAGAGTCGAATGGCTTAGATCAGGGCTGTCCAACATACGGCCCGCGAACTCCTTTTTTCCGGCCCGCTTCGCGAGTCATGTATACATCATATGTATAAATTACTCTCAAATACCGAATATGGACAATTCTTACATTAACGATAAAATACAATAACATGTGACGCCACTGGCGACCTATAGCAGGCCGCAGCGAATATTCGAGAAGTCACGGGCGCGTATATAAGAAGGTTGAATCAAGCGGGACAGGCAGTTTTGTTCTAGTGCTAGTGCGTTTCAGTACACAGCAACTCTAAAGCCTTTTTAAGTGAAATACTCTGTGAAATATGTCTTCACAGAAACGAAAAATAACGAACGAACGTCTAGCTTATAATGACCGTTGGGAATCATAATATTTAATCTCAAACAATAATAATAAACTTCAGTGCATTGTTTGTATGCAAGTACTATCGGTTCCTAAAGAATATAATATGAAACGACGTTACACGAGAAAACGTTTCGGCAATATTCAGGGGACTCGAGGCAGGCTATCATAACGGAATACTAGAAAAAACTAAAACAACAAACAAGTTTTTAAAAAAATCTGACTCTGATAACAAGTGCAGTATTGCCGCCTCTTACAAAATAGGGAAATTGCCAAAGCTAAAAAACCTTTTAGTGATGGAGTGCTTACCAAAAAGTGTGCAATAGAAATGGCGAAACAATTCAATGAATTAAAAGTTGCCGAAAAATTTGAAACAGTCTCAGTATCGCATCAAACAATTGCAGATCATATCAATGAACATGTATCCAAAACATTGCGTGACGTGCCTGGATGAAAGGACTGATCTGTCTGACATTAGTCAGCTTGTAATTTTTATCCGAACTATTCAATACGATTTCAGTGTAGCAGAGGAGATGCTTGACCTTATTCCTCTCCATGGTACAACCGAGGGTACAGATATTTTTGAAGCTGTGAATAAGTTGGTGTCAGTCTACGGGGGATTTGATAAATGTTCCTGTATTGTCACTGATGGCACCAGAGCCATGACAGGGACTTAAATTGGATTTGCAGGACTATTGAAACAAAAAGGCATCAACTGTCCTATGATACATTGTATTGTTCACCAAGAGAGCTTATGTGGAAAATCTCTACGTCAAATAAATGTCATGAAAGTGGCTGTTAAAATAACTAATATTGTTAGAGTGGGCAATCGTGCTTTGACTCACAGAAACTTGCGTGATTTTTTGGCCGAAGTGGATGCTACATATGGCGACTTGTTACTTCACACCGATGTTCGTTGGTTAAGCGCCGGAAAGTGTTTGCAACGATTTTTCGCTCTACGCAAGGAAATTCCTATTTTCCTTAAAAATGAAGTGACGCCCGACACTACGGAACTGGAAAATCAAATGGCAGATGCACAATTTTTAGCAGACCTTGCATTTTTAACAGACATGACATCTCACCTTAACGAATTGAATTTGAAGCTACAAGGAAAACAGCAGAATATTGCCAACTTATTTGGACACATAAATGGGTTTAAGAATAAAATTAAGATTTTCAAGTTTTGATTACAAAAAAATGTAAAGAACAATTTGTCCTCGCCGCATTAAATTGTTATTATTCGAAAATGTATAAAAACCGCAGCCGCCTGTAAGCCTCAAGACGTCCCAATTTCTGACGTCACCGCCGCGCCGCGTCTATGAAATACCATCGAGATCCCGATCGGCCTTAATTTCCAAGCATGCTGCTACAGCAGAAATGATAATATATCACACGGTTCTTTCGTCGGGACGTGCGACAGTTGTACAAATTAACCCATTTTCCTTATAATTCGCGTCCTCCATCTGACCGCACTCAAGAACCTGATAGGGCCATACGTCACCCGCATCCATTAGCAGCTGTCCTCGTTTATATTTCATCCTCAGATCTCATTTTTCTGCAAGCTATTTCTGGATGACGCTGGTCATGCAGATATTTTTATCACTCACACGTCAAGCTATAAAGAAATCTAGATAGAGTCGGTATTTCACACCTATCAAGAGGTCTGTAAATTAAGCGATGATATTGGTAACGACACGACACAGGAAGGTCAATAAACGAGGTTTTGGCCGGAAAACCATTCCCGTGACTCCCCAGCCTCGTTTTCCGCTTCACTTGAGTCCCAGTGTCTATTTTCTTTTCCCGAAGTTGAAAAATCACATCAAGGTAGTTCGTTCATACACATTTTTCCGATAATTTTAGAGAAGATACTCAGCAATGACACTGGTCTGTAATTGTCAATATCTGGTTCGTCTCCTTTTTAACAAGTTTTTATTAGCTTGGCCTGTATGTAGATATGTAACGCAATCTTTGAGCATAGTCTCTACCAGTTTCGAGAAGTTTGATTAATTTGAAACTTCGCACACGTATCAATGACCGCTAACAAGGCAATAATTTGATAACAGTTTTCCATTACCGTTATTAGGATCGCCAGGATTGATATAAGAAATATGAAAAAAAATATTAAAATATTTTACATACCATAAAATATTTTGTTTTTAGTGAAACAATAAAGCAAAATAATCAAAAGTAGGTATTATAATTTAATTTTGAGTTTTATTGTACATTGTCGAATCCATTCTTCTAAACAAATCATTAGGGATGCTAAAGCTGTAGCAACTGTCAGTTTTCAAGAAAACTTTAGTATGTAAAATTTCACTTAAATTTTCAGTCGATAATTTAGTTCTTATTTTAGTTTTGATCAGATTTATTTGGGAAAATATCCTTTCGACATTTGCACTTGAATGTGGAAAACTAAACAGATTAAACACAAAATTAGTTAAGGTTGGAAACATAAGAGAATCATCACCAGATTTTAATGTCGAAATTTTTCTTCAAAATTCTTGAACCCTTAAATTTGTATATTCACTTAAATCAAGACTTCTTAGGTAACGCAATTTTTTGTATATTTCATTTACGTTATCAGTTGTCAAGTTAGGAAAATGGAAAATGTAAGGCCCTAATGATGCTTTTTTGCAATTACTTCATCTGGTGATATAAGTGACAAATCTTTTGTAAATTTGAAAACAACTTTCTATTAAAAAATCTAAACACCTCTTTCCGAGGTCAAATAATTCTGCATCATTTAGTTTATGTTCATTATTGCTTATAGCACCTGTTACGTAGACACCTAAATGTTTTCTATTTCCACAAAATTATGAGTATTTTTATATTCTACTTTTTCCAACAAAGTTTTATCTAAATAATCCTTTTTCATGTAACAATCCAAAATTGTACTTAACACATGTTCAACTCGTTTATATAAAATTGTACTTTAATATTTTCGGATTGTATTTCTAAAGTTAATTACATAAAAAACGGCAGCCCAAAGTTTAAAAAATGTAAATACAATATGGTAGATGGATTTTGAACAAAATTTGAGATATTTTGTGCTTGAATGCCAGTTTTATTGTACCACTGATCTGTAAAATATAATTTTAAGGCATCATATTGCTCAAGTATTCTTTTTACAACAGGCAATACAGAAAACCACCTTGTGCGAGAGGGTTGTAAAATTTGATGAGGTTTTACTGCTACAAACTAATGATATTCTGCAAATTCAGTTTGCTAGTTAACACTGTATTGTAGATATGTATGAACATCTCTAGCCATTTGTTCAATATCATCTGGTAATTTAGCACAAACATAATTAACACATAAACTAAATGAAGACACACAAATGAAGACAGACACATTTCATAATGAATAAATTAGGAGTACGGGCTTTTAGTTTGGTCGATAATAAATTATGAATTCCCATCATAGCCCTTGCACCATCTGATGCAAAGCCTATTAGATTTTCTTTATAATTAATATTACATTTTGAAAAATAATTTACAATAGTGTTGTAAAGCCCTTCTGCCGTTGCATGTGCTACGGGCAATAGACCAAAGAACAAGTCAGTAATTTTATGTTCATAAAGATAATTGTCACTAAAGCTAAATGTTTAATTGCGCCTTTATCGGTAGATTCGTCAGCAATTAATGAAAAAAAATCTTTTTGTAATAAATTAATAGACGGTACTGCCCTAAAACATTATTGACAATAGCTGTAGCTTTGGTGCGAGAACATGTGAAATTTTTAGCAATCTCCGAGTCATTCTAATAATTTCTGATAAATTTTCTAAAGTATTAAAAGAAATGTTATGTTCAGCTGCATATCAGCAAATCGAATTTCAGCAGTTTTGATTTTGTTATTTAAAGATATTTTTTCCATATAAGATGTCATATCAGTCAAAGTTTTTTGTGTGTGTAATGATTTTACCAATTTGGTGTGTTGTTTTCCTGAAGAATGTTTCTGGATTTCGAAATTGTCACATATAAAATCTTTATTGCATGCCTTGCAGAATGCATAATTGATGGTTGAGGTGTAATTGAGGACATGATGTTACATCTGTAATTATAAAGAAACAATAACAAACAAATTTAGAAGTTTGGTTTAAAATACATAGGTCATAGATATACATATTATAATATGTATGTCTAAGATATTGTTACGCCAATCGTCATTTGGCGCGCGCGCCACTGTGTACCAGCCACGACCACTCCGCAAGCGCTGCCTGGCAGTTTTTTGAATCCAGCCAATGGGGACGGAGACACCAGGAGACCGAAGCGCCGCGACCACCAGTCGAGCTGTCGAGATAGAACGCATCAACAGGTTCAAGAAATTTGTATTGTTACTCATTTTACCAAATCAAATACAGTCCACTTTTGTAAACTCAAATAAACCTACCACCAGACTGGAACGGATGTGTCCTTGCCGCACATAACAGATATCAATATTTCATCAATTTATAGAAATATTTTTTCATTAACTTTAATACTAGATAATTAATTTCTGAGTAAATTCTGAAGAATCTCCCCGATTAAATATAATAACTGGAAAAGTATGGCAAATAAGTCCAATGTCGAAAAACTTTAATGATTATTCATTAATAATTTAAGAGCACAAACTAACAACAATAGTTATTCTAAGGCACAGTTAGCACAGGGCACAATCCGTACAATTACATATAAACAGCAGAAATGCAACAGAAACCCTGGCGGTTTATATATTATATTATAGCCCAGGTATTTCCCCGTATGTAAAATACCGTTCTGGTATTCTCCGACGGGAAATCACCAACGTTTCGTTTAGTAATACCCCGAATGTTATGAGTTATGATTTCCGACCGGTTTGTTGATACAATCGGAAGGTATTTCAAAAGTAATATATTTGTTTCTTAGTTTATTCTCTCTCTCGTTTATTTTTTGTCAGATCGCTGGTTAATGGTTTGGAGAAGAAGGTAGACCTGTTACTATGCGTACACTCTATCGCTGCATTTAAGCCTTCAACATATTTTTTTTTCTTATAACTTGTCAATAAAATTTCGTATGAATGTTATCGTTTCATTCTTGATGTATGCATCACCGCTACGCCAGGAATACGAACCAGAATTAGACAACCACATTTAATTCTTGAACCAGCCGCTATACAGTCCACTCGAATACTCTAACAACTACCTCATTGCAAAAAAATAAATTTGAGGAACTATTTTTTTCTGGGTGTAACACTTTCAATGTCATTTCTATTAAAATTGTGTGACCTATTGTATCGAATGCTTTGCTGAGATCAAGCAGCATTGATGCCATCATACCTCCATCCGTCAATAGCTCCTAAAATATCATCAACAATATGGAGGAGTGCGTCGTGCAGCTGTGTCCGCTTCTGAAGCCAGATTGTTCCTGTGGAAATATATCATTTTCCTCAAAAAAATGTTCTTGGCGCTGATAAAATTCTAATGGGTCTAAAGTCATTATGTCATTATGTCCCCTAGGCTCATTTATCTTAACTGGTTTTTTTCCATAACGAGGGAAATTTACAGCAGGTTTCTGTTTTTCGAATTTAATAGATAGGTGTCCTTTACGAAAATTACCCGCGCAACAGTTTGCACAAGTACACGTTGATAATCACAATATTAATTAACGAGACTCAGCTGCTGATGTATTTTTGTAATTACGTCCCCGTAATTGTTGAGTTTTCCCCTGCAGTAACATCAGTCGGTACGCGATGAAAAGAAAACACTGTTCAAATACGGGTGTTGAGATTATACCCTATTCAGAGCAATGCTGGCGGAAACATAATTAAATTTCAACCAGTAGTTGCGAGCGTTCTTAGCCTCATGCCGGTTTGTTGTCAGTCTGATACTGAATCACCCCTCAATCTTCCTTTGTATAGACATGTCCATACCAAACAAATGTCAGTTATCCCTATAGCCCAGGTGAATCGGATAGGACAGGATAGACGTAGCCATCCCACAGGGGCCTGTAGCTTTTCTCACTGTATATCAATACCATTGAGCTATCATGCCCAGTTTACATTATACGCAGTCCATATAATTTTTTGCTTCGCCTACTAAGGCAAGAATATCTAGTTTCGACATGTGGTCTGTAAATTAAGTGATGAAGCTGGCAACGCAGCGTTCGATCTGGCAACTCTGCAGGCACCGGGCTTGGT